ATATGTATATAATTATATTTATTAAACTCAACAAATTCAATGAATTTAACTCAAGCAATACAAGACAGCGTTGAGTTGTCATGAATCATAAAGGTTCTAGATGGTTATGTATATCTCATTGTCGGTCCTAGTGAAACTAACTCGAACTTGAATTATCGTAAACACCCAGAGTCGGTAACTTGTAACTGTAACTAGTTCTTTTTCAGTGGAAAGAACTGTAACTTTAACTAGATACTTTTACAAAATAACTTTCCCAACCCTGCCAATAGATAACCAATTCCTTCTGTGTCTCTTCCGCACAGTTGTCACTCGATTCGCCTTCTTCAGCGGCACTATTGTCAGAGTTATATTCTTCGGTATTACTATTGGCGTGTCTGATAATGAAAAGATTGAAACAATTTTTTACAAAAAGTGGAGAATATTTTGTAGAAAGTAGAATTTTCTAGAAAGAATGAGTTTAGAAAGTAGATGTTCGACTGTACTTACCAGGCAAAGATTGATGTAAAAATCGATGATTGAATTAAAAGTATTAAAACGACGTCTCACACAAATTTCTAACACTCTTTTTCTTGCTGAGAAAGTCGATACACTTCTTTACTTTTTTGATGTTGGATTCTTGGGAAAAAAATTATTAACTGCGCGCACCGGCATGCGACCACATACAGAAAAGACGATGGCTGCGTTCCGTAAAGCACATATGCGCGCATGTATCTATAGTATACGTAACGTATACTGTAGATACATGCGCGCATATGCTCTTTACGGAACGCAGCCGATATATCACGTGACAAAAGAATGACAAAAGGTCTGTTCTTTATAGCTAAACTGGCTGCACTAGTTCAGAGTTTATCTTTTTTCTTCCAATGTGGTGGGAAAAAGATAAACTCTGAACTAGTTCAGCCAGTTCAGCTATAAAGAACAAACCTAAAGAATCACGACTCAACAGTGTTATCATGCTGACTTGTCCCGTGCACGCGCGTGCGCGGAGTTCGCAGACACCAGCGCTTTGACACCGAGCGCTGATTAAAAAACAGCGAAAAACAGAAAATAGCAAGAAAATTTTCTTATTATATATTGTGTATCTTAATAAATAGATAATTTTCAAAATAAATTTGCGAATAGATAAAAAATAAGTAAATAGATAAACAATTTTTCAATTAGCTTTTAAATGATAAATAATAATAAATGTATAAAAATAATTAATAAACATTAAATAAATATTTTTTAATAAATGTTTTTTAAATAAGTTTTGAAATAAATAACAATTAAAAAATATATTTATTAAATGTTAAATAAATATTATTTTACAGATAAAAAATAAATGAAAAAGTAAATATTAAATAAACGTCAAAAAAAAGTTTACTAAAATCATTTTCTCGAATAGATAATTAATGAAAAATACATATTTATGAAATATTAAAGAAATGTTTAAAAAATGTTTACTGAAATCATTTTCTTAAATGAATAGTTAATGAAGACTAAATATCAAAAAAATATTAAATAAACGTTACATAAATGTTTGCTGAAATCATTTTCTCACATGAATAATTCATGACAAATAAATACTTAAAAAATATTAAATAAACATTTAAAAAACGTTTTCTAAAAATCATTGTTGTAAATAAATATTAAATGAAAAAAAAGATTAAATAAATGTTAAATAAATATTTTTTCCGAAATGAGTTGAGGAAATAAATAATTAATAAAAATAAATGTTAATAAAACATTTAAAAAACATTGTCTGCTGATTGGGAGGTAAAGAAAAGTGGCTTGCTATTACGGACTTGAAATATTCAATGACGTATTCAATAACGGAAATTGTCGTAAAAAGGAGAACAATGTGCCTTAATATATATATCGTATGACATCTTCACTATACTATGTGCATGCACATTGCCAAAGTGAATATTACATTTGAAAATAATGTTGATACGTCAAAATTAAAAAAAAAAAACAATTTTTCCTATCTAAAAGAGATGCGAATTTTGATTAACGCCGTTTTGTCTATTTCTTGTACAAAACAAAAAATATTGCTTCAGATAAGACTTCGTTCTTTTATCGAACAAATATATAATGAGTCAATGATTGTAGTTGAATGAATGTCACATATCAAAGCATAGTCAAGTGCATTAATTTATTATCAATGTTTATTATCAATGTATATATGTTTATCAATTAATTAATTAATGCAGTTAATTGTTTATTAATTAGTAAATATTAAAATTACTTAGAGAAGCGCAAAATTTTAACAAAGATCTTGGCAACACTCAGGAAAAATATTTGAACTTACAACCGTATCACACTTGAAACAGGGAAAAAAGATGTCTTTCATAAAAAAATCAAAATTTTTAATTAAATTTTAGTTCTATCTTAGAAAGTTCGCAGAAATTGTTTTCAGACTCAACGATTACTTTGACACAATCCACATCACTGCACAACGAAATATGAGGCTTATTTAATATATTAGGTACAAAATAAAAATTACACAAAAATATTTATTCTAAAATATGAAAAAATATGAAAAAAAATTCAGCATACTTCTTAGTAATATCTATTTTTTCACATAGCCGACGTAACATTGAAATTTTTATGTCAACGTTTTATAAGTTAAAAGATTTTTTCGCGATAAATTTTCGAGTTAAACAAATCTGATAAATTTTTTAATACATCAAAAAAATTAGAATGACGAAACAGAAATAGGTGCAGTTGAACTTTATGAATTTTAACAAAAAAGCATACTGTGTGAAGAAATCCTAAGAAGAAAACTTGTAAAATTCTAAAAAAATGCTTTAACTCGACGATTACGTCAACAAGCGAACATTACTAAAAGTACATAGTTATTTTTTATATTTTTTAGAATAAATATTTCTATATACAGATAAATATTTTTATTACTTTATTTATCACACATACATTACAACTATTGTAATGTACATTGACAAAAATTTATATTTATAGATTTTATAGACTATTTATAAATATACTTTTACAATTATTAAATAAACTTATGCAATAATTTTATTTGTTGCAATTTATATACCACATGGTATGTAAGCTGATAAGGGTTTATCGCAAAATCTGCAATTCATTAAACTTATTAACAAGTATAACAGAGAGTCATTTACATATATTTGATGCTACATTTATCTATGCTTATTAGGTTGTGGTTATTATCTATGTTTATTAGGTAATAATCAACATTACTTTTATGCAGCTTTGCGAGCATAGTACTAAATTCTACGTTTCGTAATATTTTTCAAATTTTTAAAACATTATAAGATATTTTATACCACCGGAGATAATTCAGCTTTTCGTTCACAGGTCGTTTGATATTTTTACTATTAAAAGAAACATTATTATGAAATATTTTGTAATATCACAGACTGATATATAGTTATTATGATGTTATCACACCATGACATATGCGGTTATCAATGATCTATACGCTGTAATGACCTTTTTTTACTCTTAGAAATATTATAAAACATATAGTTGAATGTCAAGTTCGAATTTGAGTCAATGGGTATACAATATATATAATGATTTTATTATCTAATTTTAAATATATATTTCTTAAACCTTGAACTGTTTAAACCGATTTGGGAAAATTTCCGCTCTAGGACATTAATGTCGCCTCTGCATATATGAGTTTGCTCTTGACTGTGAAATTTTATACGCATTTTTCACTTGTCTCGCATTGTGAATTATTCATGAAAAAATGTGCGCAGATTTTACATGGCCAACAAAATTGAATTATCGAAATTACATCGGAAATAGTAACAAATTGCTTATCGTGCGTATCGCTTGGATGAAAACAGTTGAATGATAAATCTAAGATACCGTCGAAGGATTTTAAGATATCGGAGCTATTTCAAAGAGTTATTATTGGAAGATACGTTATCAAGACAAACCTTTCGATGGTTTAATTTAAAACAACAATCTTAGAAAATTTAATTAAATTTATTGTATTAATTACGTTGGAAAATCGTCTTTAGTTATTAAATATATATATGAGTTGTATTAAAATACATTCCTAATCTCATACCTGCATAAATATATTACAAATATAATATTTGCAATTATAATCTAAAATTCTTTTGAGCAGAATTTATAATTTACAATTAGAAAACTTTAAGTGTTGTTATTTATTTCGAAATTAATTGATTATGTAATTTTTGTGTTTATTTTGGCAAATACAAAGATTTCCAATTGTTTCAGAAAATGATAAAATGATAAAATCACTTATTAATAAATAATTCTACAGGAAAGTGTATCGAGCAAGCATAAATGGCGAAAGCATGTGATAAGTAAAAATCATAAACGTATCTGTTCGTAAGATCATCAACCTATAATATATTTATATTTTTTCTTTGTTTTCCTTATGGTGAATCGATTATATATCATATCACTATATTGTAACAACTATATTCTTGAAAGAGAACGTTGAAAGAGAACGGCTATATATACATGGCGGAAAAAAGGCTAATCGCGCGACAGTAAGTAATCTCGACAAGGCTAACACATCGTGCTCCACTCGAGAGAATTGTTTGTTTTCAAATTATTTAATCACTTTATAATTCACCTATTTTCGCAATTTACGGATGCTATTTGCGTGACGGATAAGTTGTCATAGTTACGGTGTTTTAAGAAGTTTAAAGTAAAACATGTGACAATATTTTTTATACTTAAATTTTTATTTATTAATATTTTAACGCTAATTGAACTCTTAGTTCTCGAAACATGAAGTTTTGACATAAATGTAAGATATCGAACGTATTATAATATATGTACTTATACAACTTATATAATTTATATAATTTATAGGACTGTTCTATACAAAGTAGAACGTATGATAACCTTAAGAACTTTGTGATAACTCTCAGATGACATACTATATCTGATGAATATTTTTCGTGAAGTTAAATATACTGTTCCATCCGCGCCAAAATTGTAGTATCAGTCGATTGTCTGTGCGTCAAGTTGAAAAAGCAATACTGATCTCTTTGCGTAAAGCTAATATCGTAAAGTCAAAAAAGTCAATACTGATCATATCGATTTGTAAAAAGATAACCAAACAAAAGAAGCATGATCCGTAAAATGACGGATCAACAGAAGAAAACAAGAGAATCTGATATCGACCTCGATACCGGACGGCGTGTCACAATCGGTTACGCGATTTATATCCAATAATAATTATAAATAATAAATTTCATAACGTTATTATTATACGTTTAGAGTTTTCCATCTTTAAATAAATGTTGATTTTAGTTTGAATGTACTTTGTGAGTGCCGCAATTCAGCGTGAAACATACTTTGTGAAAAAATATGTCACCAAACTTTTACTTTTATCAATCTACAACAAAAGCAATAGAATTATTGAAGCACAATTTTACTTACAATAATCACACTTATAATAATCATATCTATTTATATGAATTTATTTATATGTTATAAATAATATTATAAATAAATTTGTACAAATTTATATGAGTAAATGCTTTAATTGCAAATGATATGTTACAATTCTTATAAGTAAAATTGTATGATTCTCATGATTCTGCTGCAAAATAAATAAAATAAATAAAATATGAAAGTTTTGTTATCATATATTGTCGTGTCATATATAAAATGTATTGTATCTGAACCGACTCTTTACTAGGAATTTATTGAAACCTCGGTTCCGTTTACGTAGGGAAGCGTAATGTGTGTGTGTGTGTGTGTGCTGATCACGAATCTAACGTCCTCGTGATTCATAATGATCTAATCATTGCGATGTACTCTGTCCGAGTATTTTATTTGATCGTTTGATATAGGAACAGATAATTACAGGTTATCGACTACTGCTTACTTTTGTCGCGATCACAATGAACGACTGATATAATTCACGCATAGACGGAGATAAACGTTAGTTCGTCTGCGTACGTTGCACGATCTCCGTTCTCGCTAAACAAAGTGTAAATTTGCAATTTGGATGTTCATAAAAAATAATACGGAATGTCAACATAGTAATAACTATATTTTTGTTTTCAAGTGTCTGTTATCATGTAAATATTATTATCAATTTTCCAAAGTTCAGAGGTTAGTGCAATTTTTCCGTAATGATAGTTGCTTGTGCGCAAGTGTCGCTTTGGAAGTACTAAAATACAATTTATACGCTTACCTCGCTTTCTAGATTTTTAATTCTATCTTTTAATTATATTTGTGATGCTTTGCTTATTCAGTTGAGTCACTCTTTAAATATAATTAACTTAATTTAATTTAAAACAATAAATTCAAAAATAGGTTAAATATGTCAAGAGAAATGCCGATATAAATAGAATTCTTTCTTTATTATGCAGATTATACGCATGAGTCTTCCGATATGGGTAATCAGGATTGAGGTCCTATACAAGGTGATTCAAAATAACCTCATGTCCTTGCAATGCCATATTCTTGACCAAATTCTGAGACGATTTTTCCTTTTACAAAATTTTGTCCGAAGCTTAGTTTTCGAGTTATAATTGAAAATAGGTAGCAACTTACGAGTTCGGTACAACGAGCAGGCAGGGACGCGCAACGTATAATGAGACTATCAAGTGTTTACTATCGTCTCATGACGCATTGCTCGTCCCTGCCTGTCCGTTGTATCGGACTCGTAAGTAGCAAACTATTTTCAATTATAACTCAAAAACTAAGCTTCGGACAAAGTTTTGTAAAAGGAAAAATCGTCTCAGAATTTGCTCAAGAATATGGAATTTGAGCAGAATATTGCAAGGATATCAGATTATTTTGAATCACCTTGTATAGCGTCAACCTTTACACAAGCTTCTCTCATCAATGCCACACTGGACAAAAAAAGTAATCTTATTAACGTGTACATAGAAAAGAAATGTCTTTCGACGCCTCCTTTTTTCTTGTACAGCAGAAAAGTTGCCCCTGATGTTGGTGCCCCTTTTTTGAGTGCGCATTAATAAAATTACCTTTTTTTTTAATCTATTGTAGCAATGTTTATACAAAATTTGTTATTTCGTCTGACGGAAAAGTCAAAGAGATCGTAAGATCAATGGCTCGCTCGAATATAACTATCTCTCGGCGTGTAACTATCTCCCTGTAGTCTTTACATTTTGACATTTTAATGCATTTTGCGCTGACTATCCAAAATGATGCTGATATTAATGATTGCAAGAGCGGACATTTCGTTGCTTAAAGTCTATTACCGCACCCGGATGTTCGCAACTAACGCTTTGATAGTACCCTAGATCTAACACAGAGATGTTGGACATGTGCATGTAATACGCTGTGAATTGTGCTGTTAGCATCAATGTGTGTACGTGTGATCATCACGTTCGCTTGCGAAGCTTGTACATTCAATTTAAATTGACGATGAACGAGCCATCAGTAAAAAGTGCGTTCTTTGTTCGAACACTTTTGCAATTAGATTTTACTGACTAAATAAATAAAAAACGATCTAAATCTGCAAAACAGTTTTTATGTTAGGAAAATGTTCGGGTGCATCGAAATTAAATCATTTTAAGCTTTTAATAATTTGATCAACATTTTTAATAGCATTGATCTGTATAGTGTTAGATCCTAGTACAGTTTTCGTGATCAAGCAGTATTTATAAAGAAACATTAAACTTTAATTCTTTTTTTTATATAAAAGATTTTGGAAGATGGATTTTAACCAAGCTTCTCTTTCGTTTATTTAATAAAGAAATATTTATCGTGATTTGCGGTCATAATTCTAGTGAAGTCTACAATAGACAAATAAAAAATTAATTTTTTTTAAATAATAATAACTGAATAAAAAAATAATTAAGACGGACCTACAGCATTGTCGGTTGTACTAGTAGGAAAATAAAAATATTTGTAGCCTGGTCTTTCACATTACATTAAATGATTGTAAGATTAAACTAAACTATTTATACTTTTGTTTTTAGGATTGTTTTGATTTATAACAGTTAATTATATCTGGAATTGTGCGAGTAGATAGCGATATAGAACGATTGACAAAATCAATCACTCAGCTTGATATACACGCAGTGCGCAATGTACCAAGTAACGGTCCAGTCATGTATTTTGTCACGATTTCTCAATTCATCAAATTCGTTACACGTCGCTGTGCTAAGAGTAACGATTAAACGGATGCATGTACGGTTAGCTAAATTGTCTTGTTGAAGGCCGGCGGCGCGTAAAGACGATCTTGCGTCGTCTTCATCACGTTAACGTTTAGCGTAGACGAAAATTCTCTTCACCGACGCTCTCGAATAAAGTAGAAACTGGCATAGAACGAACTTTTCAGGGGCGACAACAAATGATTCATCGGTTTAACAAACGGCTCCGATAAGCCGTCCGAGCAGCCAAACAACAATTGTATTATCGCGTAGATATGCGGATTTAAGATGCAGGGTCGAGAACGATCGATTGTGTGGCATGTACTATAAAATGCAAATTATCTATAACAAAGTGACAGTGAGTAATAGCCGTTTCATGGGTATTGAATTATTGTCGTGGACTATTCATCAGTAAGATTAAACATCACGTCTTCTCATGGGAGTGGTTCTATGATCAAAAAATTCTTGACAAACGGATATATTCGTCGCGAGGATGATTTGAGATTAATGCCTAAACAACGGCGGGCATCTAACCGCTGCACGCTCCAATATCGTTTTGTTCGCATCGCCGGCTGTCTCGTTCAGTCCGGTGTCCACTTCTTCAGCGATCTACCCGTGAGTCTTTCTATTATGTTCGAGCACTATACTCGAGACTAACGTCGCTTAAACGTCGCGTAAAGAGCGCGATATCGATTGCTCTAAAACGATCTTTTTTATCGTTCACAATTATGAAGTGTAGTGCATAGTGTTCAGGAACGATCTCGAAGATTTTAATTCGCAGTGCATTTATTTATAAAAATTGATTAGTTAGCTCTTTTAATGGTATGGAATGTGGAGAGTAATTTATAAGAAAGAGATTTTGTTTGTATAATGTGTATTTTTATGCGCTTGTATGTTGCAAATTAGCTGTTTAAAACTAACCGCGTTCGTTAATGAAAATTGTCTTATTAAATGCAACAAGCTCAATATATTTGTTTTTGTCTCTTTTAATAGTACACAGTAAAAGTTTGTCAATCGTTTTATTTGGAAGATCTCACAAACAGCATGTACATAATCTCTCCTCCTCTCACTGTGAATCTGTTCCCCTATCTGTATATATCATTATGAGAGCGCACTCTAACTGTTGTAGTTCTCTTCTTGTCACCGATAAAAGCACATGTTTAAATTGAACACTTTCAATTTATTTTGTTCAATCCTGCTTAATTGTTTCGTCCATAAGCTATTATTTACAAATATAAAGAGATGTATATAATTTAAAATCTTTTTAAGATCTTCAGCGTAAATATGTCAGCTTTCCACACGAATAAGAAAAATAATTACATTTTTCATCTACGATACATTTTTAGTTCTATTTATAAACATATTTTCAAAATTTTCAGAAAGCGTAAAGTCTGTAATAAATCTGTGATAAATTTGCGATACTTGTGGATAGCGATGAGTATTATTGTGAAACTTCGTCTCATACAACTTTATGCTCAAAAAGACGAGAAATCAGTCCTTCAACAAACTCCCGGAACATTTGTAATAAGTTCATGTGGAATTGAATACATTTACAGGATGGGAATACGGAACAACCAGTCGTAATACCAGTGATATCATCCGATCGTGAAATAACAGTGATACTTCGTATATAGGCGGTATCATCCGTAGAGAGTAGAAACGTTACTCATTACGTGACTTCGCACATAGGGTCATGGCTGTGAAAGAGTGGTTTAGGAGGTTACAGCCCGTACAACTGTACCTGGTGCTGTTCTTTACCATGGTTTTCTTCTTAGTTGAGATCATCGCCAGTCATGTAACGCATTCACTGACCCTGCTCCTTAACGCGTATCACATGCTCTGCAACATCGTGGCACTTGTCGGTTGCATTGCATCGATCAAGGTAAGTGTGAAATTCAGCCCGCCAACAGTACATTTAATCAGTCACAAAATGTTTCATATTCGTAAAAATAATATCACATTGACACTTACATCGTGTAGTAATTTTAAATGTGCTTTTTACACACTTTATTTATTTCTTGTATAAGTGCTATTTATTTCTTTTTTTTCTCAAATGTAAGAAAAAGAAGAGTAAAGAAGAAAGAACGCAAGAAAGAACTTAATTTTGCTGGATAAAAATTTGACTTTGTATTGTAAAAAGCTCAGTTTACACACACACACACACACACACACACACACGCGAGCGCGCGCACACAATTCTCATAATTATACGTTACGATATTTAATATGTAAGAATATGTATAAACGATATTTTATATTTGAATTAATTAATAAATAGTTTGAAAGAAAATTGAGAAAAAAAATCTATATCTAAGAAAGTTTATACTAAAGTTCGCATTAGCATGAATCGCTTCAATAAGTGGGTCAAGTTCATAATGACACACTTCATTCATTGAATTTAGTGAAACGTAACGCGCACGCGATTGTTTTTGCAAGAAACTGATAAAAGTGTATAAAGGAATGGTCTTGCAATGATCTTATATTATCGGGATAAAAACTTCTCTATATTATTTAGTAAAGTTTTCTCCATTGTTTGCAGTACAGCTATCGGGAAAAATACAACAATAACAGCAACTGTAGTTCACTAGGAAATTCATCGATTTGCATCAACAGGGAAGAACAGGGTTCTGTCACGTCTTTATCAACAAAGACAAAGGTACGTTTAATGATACTAAAAAATTAGAAATTAAAGACGAATTTTTATATAATATATGTAGATGTCTAATAGCTATAAATCTTATTTAAAAGTAAAAGTTTTTTATTCGACGTATTGGGAAAGTTACTCCTTATTAATTCCGCCCACTGATGCGCATAAATATGAAGAACCCGTTTTATAGGAATCATGGTCAGACAGGAGAATGAAGAACACGTTTGGGTGGGCCAGAATCGACGTTGTCACAATGCTCGTTTGCTGTGTCTTTCTTGCCTCTTTTTGCTTCTCTCTATTAATGGAAGCGTTGCAGACACTGGTACATATCGATCACCTGGATGAAATGCACCATCCATTACCGGTGCTATGCATCGGTGCTTCCGGAATACTTTTGAATGTTCTCTGTTACATTTTAATTGGAGGCTTCACATTCAACCAAGGAATCTTCTTGCACGTTACTAAAAGCGGGGATGTAATTCTATGCAGGTAAATTGTAACACTGATTTAAATTACAAATAATCGAAGAAATAAAATAGTTATTTACATCCACAATTCAAAATTGTTTTTGAACAGTTTACAAAATATTTTAATAATATTTTATTCGTACTTTGAACTTGCATTTATTAAAAACCATTAATATTGCCAGAGTATTACGTTACCATGAAAAAATAAGTTATATTATTTAGTTTGAAAAATGTACATATTACATATTATATTAAATATCTATTTCTTAAAATTGCATTAATAATAAAAATTTTCAATATTTTACTATATACATTTCTGACGATAAAAAATATATTTGTCCATATTTTAATACCAAAATGCCAGTTAACTTAGTTTTATACAAAGAAATTCCATCAATTTTCATAAAATATTGTACTTAATCTTATAGAAATATGAGTGCGCAAGAAACAAAGGATGGTGAACAACAATTGTCAGCACACACTAGACGAAGTCCACTAGCAATACCAAAAAGCCAAGGTTTTAGAGAAGTGTGTCGAGATGTTCTTGGATGTGTTTTTGTCATACTAGTGTCGATTTTAGTTTATTTTACTGACTCTGATGTAGCTAAATACATAGATCCAGTTTTCGCTATTATTTCATCAATTTCGCTATTTGTTCTTTGCTATCCATACAGTGAGTATATTTCCTTTAATAATTATATTATAATAATAACGTAAAATGATAGCTATACATATAATAATAACTCAAAGTAATTATTTATTAAATATTTTTGATTCTATAAAATTATAAGTATATATAATTTTCTAATTTTGAAAAATACTTAACGGTTTCTTTTCTTTCAGTGAAAGAATCAGGCCTAATTCTGCTTCAAACAATTCCGAATCATATAAATATCGATTCTCTTAAAGAGAATTGTTGGAAGCTTTCCGGGCATCGTAAACGTTCATGATCTACACGTATGGCAATTAGCAGGAGAGAAAATCATTTCTACAGCGCACATTATTTTCCTCGATCCAAGTGTACGTAAGCTATATTGAATACTATAGATTCATTTAAAATAATTAATATTTCACGGAAATATGATTTATTTAAAAAACAATATTTTACTTAATATTTTTTAATTACAAATAAATTTTTTCGAATTTTTTCAGGTTTACGCCAGTATTACGGATCAAGTCACTGCTTTTTTTATTGAAATGGGCATAACGCAGGTTACTATACAACCAGAATTTCACAAGGTACGAAAAATATATATTGATACATCTATCAGTGTAATTGCTTTATTGAATAATAATGATATCTGATCACTAGATGAAGCCAAATATGGAGAAAACTGATTGCTTAATTCGTTGTCATGGAGAACATTGTAGTTCCTCCCAATGTTGTTCACGGGAAAATTTCTTGGAGGATACGTGCAAGTCAACGAAAGACGCGTATACAATTAGCAAGAAGTATGACAAAAAGGAAATAATACCAGCCGCGTGTGCGATTAGTCTAGAGAAGTTTACTGTATACGAAGAGGGAACTGTAGAGCGGACTGCAAAAAACGACACTAAAATAGAAAAATCTGCACGCAATCAGATAAATGTAACTACTCGTATAAATAACGAACAAATACACAGCAGCATGAGTAGTGATACAGATGTTAGTTCTTGTGCGACAAACACAGTCGATCGAATAGTTGCAAGCGTCGTTAATGATTAGATGTCTGTCGATAGCAACTTGGACCGCACTATCAAATCTTAAGTTTCTATTTGTTACTTAGGTAGCTAATAATTTAACTTACTTAGGCATTATTTTTTTTAAATATATGGTGCGATACTCAATACGATGAATGTCACGATTTTTTTTTCTTTGTTTGAAATGTATAAAAAAATAATTTTACAATTTTTTATTACAAACTACGCAATGATCAATTATTTCAAATTATTTTATTGCTGTGTATGTAAGAACATTTTTAACACAAAGACTGTAAAATAGTATTAAGTGCTTTAATTTATACAACACAGTATATTGTATATCACTAATCTGATAAATTGTGTTTGCTTGAAAAGAAAAATCGAAAAAAACATTTATCGAAGAGACGTGGATCGCGACGCTTTGTATTCTGTCTCGCTTTCTTTGGAGTATCAAAAGTTGGCACACCAATTAATTCGAATAATTAAAAAAAAATCCATATCAGATATATTATCCATATTTTCCGCTGTTTGAATCCCTTTAAATAAATCCTCCAAGTATTTTATTTTATAATATTGTATTTTATAAATTTTATTATGTTTTTGTATTTTTGTGTCTTTTTTCCGGTTTTTGCAGCGTTCTGTTTTCATTCATCGTCGCTGCTGCTGATCACATCACTCATCGAGAACGTGCCGTCGATCTTGTCGTTGTCTCATCGTTGTCGTCGTCGTCGTCGACGGATGGTAGTGATTCCGTACTACCGCTGTAGCTTGTCGTATCGTCATCGAGTGGTCATATCATGTAGCATTTTCTCCGGACGTGATCCGCGTTACACTCTACTTGCATGTCCTCTGGGAAGTCCGTTATTCGCATCGGGCGCGACATCGCGATCGAAACGTGGGCAGCGTGCGATGTGGAGCAAGATACGCACAGTGTGTAGTGTCACGGCAAGGTACACTACGGTATACGATGCGCACGCGGTGTACTTTGCGATTCAGTCGCTCTGCAGAACTACCGAGATTAACAAGTAGTCTCTCCGAAGGGTAGCCTGTCGTCTGACATTAATCTATAGACAGGCAGGCAGACAGGCAGATATATGCGGGTATTACGCGGAATTACAGCTTTTTTTCGTCGCCGATTTTTGTGTCATTGGATCGCTTATAACTCGGAAACTATGGAAAATGGAAAGATCGGACTATAGGACCTTATTCGCAGGGCATTGAGAGGTCTTTCAATCCTTCTAGGCGCTTTTTCGAAATTCGTAAATTTGTGAGGAATTTGGGGGTGTTTTCTTTTATATCTCCGCAGGGGTTATCACTAGAGTCTCGGTGCCATTTGGCGCAAGTCGATTCTTTCCCACATATTTCCCTATACAACATTCGGGAATCTGTCCGTTTTTTTTTTTCGGTGGTAAAAAATTGAAAAACGCTTTTCGACAAACAAACTCAATTTCTTCTATGCCTAGCTTTTTTTTTTTTTGGTAAGGCAGGGGAAACCCTTTGTGGATACCCATGGGTTCCGGGGGAAGACCCGTGGGTTATGTGGGAGTCTCCTGGGGACGAAGGCCCCCAGGCATACCCACTAAAACCCCTGCCGATAGCCTTCCTGGACCATGTAGAGAGAGGGTGAGGCATCATCATAGATATTCAACTCACCCTCCCTCAGGTCTGACCGTTGTTGCGGTCTCTTCTCGGAGAAAAAGGGGGATTTTCTAAGTCCCCCTCCCCTTCTCAATTACCGTCCTTGTTGGGAAAGGCCGGACTACCGCGACCTTTCCCCGCCCTCCCGTGTTTTGGTGGGGGGCTGAGGCCAGTTAGGAGCCCCCGCTCCCAACTGACCCCCCGACGGAAGGGAGATAGTATTCCTAGAATTCCTGAGACTTTGTCCCCCCTCCGGCCGTCCGAGTTGGGAGGGCCCTATTGGCCCCTCCCAGGGGAGTCCCCACGAGTACTTGGTAAACGTCACCACCCGGGGGGGAGCCCTGTTGTTACTTGCCCCCTTAGAGGCGGGGGGGTTGTGGTGGCGGTGGCTGTGGAGGAAGAGCATCATCCTTCCCCCTCCCGCCGTTTCCTTCCTTCTTTCTCTCTCTGCCTCTTCCTTCTGCAACATAACTTTGTCGCAGAAGGAGGAGACGGCTCTCCATTTGTCCTCTCCCTCCAGCATAGTTTTAACTAATGCCGGAAGGGAGAGGTCCTCGCCGACCACTGCGGTCAGGACTCGACGCTCTTCCTCCCATGCTTCACACTCTACGAGAGTGTGCAGCGCCGAGTCCAGACCGCACAGTGGTGGCACTCGGTCGTGTACTCTCTGCCAATCTTGCACAGGTAGTCACCGAAGCATCCGTGCCCGGTGTAGTATTTTTTTTTTCCACAGGTCATTGGACACTTGTAAATTAAAAAAAAAAAAAAAAAAAAAAAAAAAAAAAATAACTACACCGGCGACGGATGCTTCGGTGACTACCTGTGCAAGATTGGCAGAGAGTACACGACCGAGCCCGATCCGAGCTGCGAATACAAGGAGACATCTCGGTGGGCGGATTCTGGGAGCATAGCTCGCGGTTTCCGGCCTGGCCCGATGGCTGCTCGAGCCGCTCAGAAGTATTCTGAGGTCGGGGTCGAGTAGCGAGGTCCGCACACTCTCGGAGTGCGTCCCGGTAATTCATTGCCGGTCCCAGAGTGGGCGGACGAGGAGTGGGCTTGCTGGTTGCCACGGCGGGCAAGGCGGTTGGTTGTGTCGCAACGACCCTCCG